GCTGAGTGATGCCAATGCCTTTCTACTTATTTTAAAGCTTTCCACATGCCCTGAATTATTTTTTAATTAACCTCTTCATGATGTCTGAAGCCAAAATTATGTCATTATTTGAACTTTTTGCTTGTTTTTAAAGAAAACATTAACTGTTCATGAATATAATCTCAATTATCACACTTCTCAGAAGTCTATCATATCTATGGGGATTGTCAGTAATCTTGTCTACATGTAATAAAAGTGTAACAGGGAAAAACATTTGAACAAAAGTGTTGATTGCATTATTGTTTGCAAAAGTGAAAAGCAGAAAGATTTGCAAAGAAAGAACATACAAATAAAATTAAATTACTTAAATTTAATTAGGGTTAAATTTTAACAGCTCTATACAAGTCAGTTTGATTTTGAGCTGGTTCAGTGGTGAAATCCAGGAATGGCAGCACACCCTTGTATTTCAGAAATAAGGCGTGGGGACAGAGACAGGAAGATCTCAGCAGCTTGCTGACTAGCAATTCTAGCCAATCTGTGAGCTTCAGAACCTTTGAGAGACCTGGTCTTGAAATAGAACCTAATATAGACCAGTGGCCTTTACACATGCAAAGATGGGCTGGTAGACACACACACATTTATATGTGCTCATACACACCAGACATGCGCGCGCACACACACACACACACACACACACACACACACACACACACACAAACATATCAATATACATGTTAACTTGGAAGGGGAAAAGCTGAAGAGGACTCAACCCTAGACAAAGAACTACAGTCAAGAAAGGAATGCTGAGAGCTAGAGACATATTTTTGAAGAGCTTATTGAATTAAATGAGAGACTGTAATGAAGACATCTATTTTCTAGCTTGCCTAATTTACATTTTATAAAAGTTGTATTACACTTAAAATTTATTTTCCTGATAAATTATGTCTAATATTGCAACTTTGCAATAATAGATATCAAAATTATTAAGTTTATGTTACTTGATAAGCAGAGTTTAAAATACATTTTTATTATTTTTAAGCTGGCTACTCTCAACAGATACATTCCCATGACTACAAGCAATGACATTCAAATGATTAAGGTTGATTTTTAAACTCTGCTCACTATAATGTCACCTAGTATAATAATTTTGATGCATCATTTCCCCTCAAAAATTATTTTTAATTTCCTTTGTGTAGTCTCTCTATAAGTACACTCAACTGATCTTGTCCTTTTCACATCTAAAAAAATTAATATTGTCTGAATTTTTAAAGAATAAAGTAAATAATTTTGATTACCAAAAGCTGTCTTCTATTACTGAAGACTAATGGTGCTTCATATCCAGAATGAGAAATATTTTATTTTTAAAGACAGTATTTTTCAGGTGATATCTACTATTTAGACACTTTATTTTTATTTTATTTTTTTTATAATCAAGTAATTTTTATTAATTTTCTTTTTAAGTTATTTATTTTTTTTAATAAATTACAGTTTATTCACTTTGTAACCCCTTCCCTCATCTCTTCCCATGCCCCCCCCCCAAAGTCCACTGATAGGGGAGGGCCTTCTCCTCTTCCTTCTGACCCTAGCCTATCAGGTCTCATCAGGACTGGCTGCATTGTCTTCTCTATGGCCTGGTAAGGCTGCTCCCCCATCAGAGCCAGCCACTGAGTTCATGTCAGAGACAGTCCCTGTTCCCATTACTAGGGAACTCACTTGGACACTGAGCTGCTATGGGCTACATCTGAGCAGGGGTTCTAGGTTATCTCTATGCATGGTCCTTGGTTGGAGTATCAGTCTCAGGAAAAGACCCCTGTGTCCAGAATTTTCTGGTTCTGTTGCTCTCCTTGTGGAGCTCCTATCACCTCTGGGTCTTTCTATCTCTCCCTTTCATAAGATTACTTGCACTCTGCCCAAAGTTTGGTTATGAGTCTCAGCATCTCCTTCAATAGATATCTTGCTGGGTAGAGTCTTTCAGAGGCCCTTTGTGGTAAGCTCCTATCTGTTCCCTGTTATCTCCCTCTCCCCTGTCCATCCTGTTTGCCTTTCTGACTGAGGATTGATAATCTTACCGAGGGTCCTCCTTCTTGCTTAGCTTCTTTGGGTGTACAGATTTTAGTATGTGTACCCTATATTATATGTCTAATATCCACTTATAAGTGAATATATACCATGTATGTCTTTCTGCTTCTGGGATACCTCACTGCACTTTAATAAATTTTTGTTCAAGATACCTGCTTGTTACTGATAAAAATGTCCAAGATACTTGAAGATGTAGTCTTTTCAATATTAATAATAAATTTATCATGAGGCAACCAGTTCAAAGTTTTCTCTAGATATTCTTTAATAAAAGTATTCAGATGCTGATGTGGGTATGGCTCTCATTTCAGTACTTCCAAATACCTCCTATTACTTTTATTTTCTATAATGCCTTTGTTTTCACTGTATAAATAATAATGCATTCTTTCACTGCTGTGGTTTTGAATTAAATGGCCCCATAAGCTGGGTCCTTAAGTAACAGTTTTGGGACTTGATGAAAACTTTAGGAAGTGGGGCCTGGTTGGACAAAGTAGGCAGGCCTTTTGGGGTGTGCTTTTGAAGGTCTTGTTGCAGCCTGCCCTGTCATAGCTGTCCCTCTGCTTCATGTTTTGGTGAGAGTGTACCCTGATCCATCACACACTGACCCCAGTGACATCTTGGTTAACTTCAGTCTAAGCAACATAGCCAAATGACCACGGACTAAAACTTTTGAGTAACACTCTTTATCAAAGCTGTTGTTTCCTTCAGGTGTATGTCACAGTGACAAAAATCAAACATAGCGTTCACATATAAAAACAATCTAAATTAAAATATCTTGAGGCCAATATCTATGTTGGAATTAATTGCGCATGTGTATACTTTCATTCTCATAAAATGTCCATAAGTTTGTGTGTGAAATTTGTGACCAATGCTAATATTATTGTTACATCAAATTCTTTGATGGAACGGCTCAGATCCTAGCCACTGTCTCAGACTAGCTTCTTGAGAGGGCATGGCACATCACTTACCGAGATCGGGGTCTGTTTGATATATCTCTAGAAAATGTCACTGAATTCTACAAAGAACTGCTAATTCTTGATGAGTACATTGAAATCAAGGAAAGGTGGCTCCACCATGCTTATTTTCTCTGCACATTATCATGAATTATTAATACTCTTTCCACTGCTTTCTTATAAAAAAACTTTAAAAAGTTCTTATATTTTTTTAAAAAAATTGTGTACTATTGAATTTAAACGTATAACTGACAAGAACATGCATTATCATATTTCACTTTGCAGGCTAGTCTAAATGCCAACTTAAACACTTCTTTTCTTTCAAACTCATTTCTATTAGTGGGAGCGGGGAGGGCTTCCATGCCACAGCATGCATGTTAAGGACAGAGGACGACTTTGTGGAGTTAGTTCTCTCCTTCTACATTTACATAAGTTCCAGGTACAGAGCTCATATCACCATGCTCATGTGGCCAGTTCCTTGACCACTGAGCCATCTGACAAGCCCTTAAATACTCCACTTCTTAAAATTACATAGTGTGCTATTTGTAATAGCCAGAAACTGGAAACAGCCCAGATGCCCCTCAGTTGAGGAATGGATATAGAAATTGTAGTACATCTATGCAATGGTATACTACTCAGCAATAAAAAACAAGAAAAACATGAAATTTGCAGGTAAATGGTGGGAATTGGAAAAGATAATCCTGAGTGAGGTTTCCCCGAAGCAGAAAGACACATGGGGTATATTATGCTCACTCATAAGTGGATATTAGACATATAGGATAAACATACTAAAATCTGTATACCTAGGGAAGCTCAATCCCCATTCAGGAAGGCAAAGAGGATGGACATCAGAAGAGGGAGAAAACAGGGAAAAGGACAGGATCCTACCACAGAGGGTCTCTGAAAGGCTCTAACCTGCAGGGTGTTGAGGCAGATGCTGAGACTCATAGCCAAACTTTGAGCAGAGTGCAGGGAATCTTATGAAAGAAGTGGGAGATAGTGAGACCTGGAGAGAACAGGAGCTCCACAAGAAGAACAACAGATCCAAAAAGTTTGGGCACAGGGGTCTTTTCTGAGACTGACACCCCACCTCAGGACCACTCATGGAGATGGCTTGGAACCCCTACACAGAGGTAGCCCATGGCAGTTCAGTGTCCAAGTGGGTTTGCAGTAATGGAGACAGGGACTGTCTCTGACATGAACTGATTGGCCTGCTCTCTGATCACCTCCCCCTGAGGGGAAGCAGCCTTACCAGGCCACAAAGGAAGACAATTCAGCCACTCCTGATGAGACCTGATAGAAGAGGATCAGAGGGAAGGGGAGGAGGACCTCCTTTATCAGTGGACAGGGAGAGGAGTACAGGTGGGAAAGAGGGAGGGAAGGTGAGATTGGGAAGGAAGGAGGGAGGGAGCTACAGGGGGACTACAAAGTGAATAAACTGTAATTAATAAAAAATAAATTAAAAAAATAAAATTATGTAATGTGTAGTTCCCTAATTTTTTATTACTTAGAATATTAGGTAAGAAGTTAACCAAATGGAAAACATCTCATATTTAAGACTTTTATTATATTAGAAACCAAAAGACACCTATTTTTTTTTTATTCGTTGCCATTTCATTATTTTGAGGAAGTTTTTTGAAGTTCTTGATTCTTCCCCAAAGGTCTCATTTATTGAAGGTGTCGAATACAGTCTCTGTTTTTGCCTTCCCCTCAATTCACGCCCGACAACCAGGTTCGTGCTTGGGCACAGGTAATATTTGGGTAAGAAAGACAGTTCAGGCTGACAAAGCAGCACTCCTGGGAAAAAAAAAAAAAACTATTAACATGTATAAATGGATTTCCTCACAGTATAAATGCTCGCCTGCACCCTCCCGGTGCCTCAGAGCCGTCCTGATGTATATATGCAGGTAGCGAGACGTGAATCGGCCCTTTGATACAGTAATATAATAAAAGTGATCTGGCAAGCAGCAGGGCTTCTTTTTCCTCTCTCTTGTGGGGATGAGTTGCCAGTCTTTCACTTCGGCTGATACCTTTATACCTCTGAATTCTGATGCTTCTGCAGCTCTGCCTCTGAGAATGCATCACAGTGCCGCTGAGTGTCTCCCAGTCTCCAACCATGCCACCAACGTGATGTCCACAGGTACTGACTTCCATGGCTGGGCCTACAGCTTTCAGAGTGGATGCGCTGAATCCTGTTAGTGAATAATCTCTTTGTTCCACCCCCCCCCTTTAGTTTGCTTTAGTTAAATGTTAAGGATATTGTAAAAGTCCAGTTGCCTAAGAATTAAAAAAAAAAAAAAAAAAAAAAAAAGTAAAGGAAATCACCTGTCTTTTTATTAGTTTTACTTTACAACCTGGAAGAACTATTTTCTACATAAGCAAATAGTGAGCTAGAGTAGTTTTCACTCTGAAAAATGATTTTAATAGAAATGTTTATGGATAAAGATCAAAATGAAATATTCTAAACTAGTTTAATGTTAAGTAGGTACTGCTACTTTATATTAAAATGTATTTCATTTTTGAATTATATTTGTTACTATCTGTAAACAGCCTTATAAAAATAAACTGAAAAATTCCTAGTACCAACTAAAGTGCACTTTAATGAATAAAATAATTAAATGCTTTATTAAACTCACATTAAAATGCATAGTCTTAAACGTAGAAAACAAAACAAGAGAACATTTAGAGCTGAGAGAGTTTAATTTTCTCAAGACTGAGTTCTAGAAATAACTCTATAATTTTGTCTTTACTTAACATTCCTAAATGAAAATTAAACTGGGGATCAAAACAGGCAAGTGTATGCACTTTGCTAATACATTTGTACTTAATACAATAACAACTGGTCTCAAAGACAATTTCCAGACAGCTGGAGCCTTGGACTAACTAAATTTCTTCCATGAAACAACATTCACCTTTCATTTGTTTAAAATCTGATTGTCTCACTTGTAAAAATGAAATAAAATTTTATATTTGTGGAAATAAAATTTTGGGTTTATATTATAATTTAAAACAATCAAACAGCTTTTATGATACCTGGGTAATTTCCAAACACATATAAAGGTTTTTCATCTATCTCTGGCTGAATTTTAAATAATTAAGAGATTATATATTTGGACTCTGGAAATGCCACTTAATCTACTAAAGATTTCCATAGTTTAATGTAAAAGGTAATTTTGGGAGTGTACTGAAACATTTTTGATGAAAATATAACAAAGTAATTTGATCCTATAATAATACTATAAATCACATAAATAATCTAAATAATTAAAGTGCAATCATACTTTTAAAATAGTATATTTTATGGATTGAGACTTCACAAAATCTTTATTTTGTTTCTCTAGTTGACTGTAGAAAAATATTTGATCAGTAGGAATGTAAAATTTAAGATTAAATAGTAATGTAGCAAAATGTCTAGCTTTAAGTTTTACTGATCTATTTAAAAATATGTAACAATTCATTTAATAAACTAGCCTACCTTTTATACAACTTTCTAAAGCCAAAAAACTTCAAATATTATATAGCTGTTATGAGTAAAAATAATCTGTGACAGTTTCTTTAAATTATTGTAAATGATTTATATTTTTTTATAAAGTTAAAGATATATAGACACGTAATTAAGTAAGGAATTAGAAATGGTTATTTTAATGAAAACTATTGGATATTAAATGTGGTTAAGATTCATTAGTTTTTTAAATAGATACTGAAATCGTTCTATGTAACTATTACATGGTAAAATCATGTTGTGTCTTTCTGTATTAGTTACCTACTAGAAATTTATGCAGATGCCTATAATTAAGTATTGTTCTATATTTAGACAAAATATATTTATTCTATGAAAAGATCTCATGTAGTTAATGACTACATCATGTGTTAATATTCTCAATTACTATTAATTATATATTCTATTCTCTTTGTTTAAAAACATTTGTTATGTTTATGATAATAACCTACTTACAGTATTATTATATTATACTAGAACTATTTTAGTATAGTATAGCATATATTTAGGATATGAGAGAAAAATGAGGAAGCAAATACATAGGGAAACTTTTTCTAGTAGTTTTACTGTTGAAAGTCTCTGCTGTTATAAAATGTTGATTTGTGTTTGAAACTTCATATATGTTTCATAGTTCATACCTTATTTATAAAAATACACTAATTATAGGAAGTATATCTTTATGTGTGAGATTATGTATATACACAGCCTTCAGCAATGAAGAAAATGACTTCTTACTGGCTTTATTATTGTTTGTTCTGTCAATGCATACTGAAAACCTACAAGCCATGGTTTCAATATCGACATAATTGCAGTAGATACGACCACAGGGTTTTCATAAAACCCTGAAAACAGCAAGATTTTATGATCGTATCTAAACAAGAAGATGCTTACTCTGGCATTTTCTCCTTAGGAAAAGGAATTTATAAGGAAAATAATCAAATTTCTCAGCTATGGCTATTTATGAGTCAATTTAGGTATTCACTGTTCCAGAGACACCTTCCGTATAATACTGTGCTACACAGTGGTGTTCAGATTGCTCTTCAGCGGCTGTGGTGAAATATCTACTCTGGATGGAACCTTCAAGAACTTTACAAATCCCAGAGAGCTGGGGTCCAAGCTCCCCTCACATCTTCACGAGATACTTGTAACCAGAATGCAGACCCCACAATAGTCTACTTTGATGATTTAGAATCTCATCACGTGAGACAACCTTTGATTGCTTTTATTTGCTCAATTGGAAACTCCCAGTGAAGAAAAAAGTACATATTGTTCTATAATTTAATAATCACATAAATGTGTAATTTTGGAATGAGTTGAATGTGTCTTGAATCCTCATGCATTTTCTTACCAGTCGCGTCTATTTTGTCTTTGATCCAAACTCCTAAATGTTTGCACACGTATTTCTCGATGACAACTATGGGAAACACAGCGGCAGGACTTCATTATTCTGTGCCTTCCTGTCATTATGGAAACCAGCCATCCACCTATGGAGTGATGGCAGGTAAGAAAAGTTGTCTTATGTGGTATGCAATTGGAGAAAATGATGTTGGGTTTCCTGGGCCAAAGGGTACGGTGACAAGACCATAACGTGACATTCTGATCTTTCTGCTTGGAAGTTAGTGGTGCCACTTTCAGAAGAGTCCCCAGACTCCAGAGGCCCTCAGACACCTAAAGGTGTACAGGTCTGTACGCCTGTGTTCCTGACACTTTCATGAGCTTTGCATGATTTTGTTGTTTGCTCACTACTGTTAAACTGCTAGCTGCCATGTGTTACTGCCTTTGTGGGATTCCCCATGGCAACACTCTAATGGCTGCTAGAGCCATTTCACATTTAAATGAAAATTAACAGGAAAATTAACAAGAGCTTAAAATTCAGTTTCTCTGCTGTATCAGCCTCGATTCCAGTGGCCAATACTCTCCTGTATTTGGTGGCTACTCTATCATATACCACAGTTTATAGAACATCACTTTATTTTTCTCATAATATTGCTCTTCGTATCCTTGTTCCACAAAGATAAATATAAGATACATACTGAATGTTCGGCCTGATGTTCAGAGATTTTAGCAATGGCTGTTTCAGGCTGTGACAGTCCTTTCTGGGTTGTGTCTGATGCCTTACTAAGGTAGGTGACATGGCATACACTTCAGGAAAAGTGGGCTATGCATCTTTTGTATAAAGCCAACACACTGGTGTCTGTGTAAATGCATTGGTAATATGGCTTCCTAGAAATGGGAACCCCATGAGTTCCACTCGTGCCCAGAATTCACTGCTTAATTTCAGGGCATGGCTAAAGAAAATATTTCAGTGGGTTAAAAAATAAAAGATAAAAATAAAATAAATATATTTTTTATATATTTTATATATATAAAATATATAAAATAAATATATTTCTTAATAAAAATAAAAGACACGACTGCTGTTCACAGATTTTCACTTTTCAGTTTGTTCTTACAGAAATTTTCTAGTAGTCTAGATTTGTTATTTCAGCCGGAAAATAACTCTCATCAGGGATGAATCAAGACAGATAGATGGAGGGATGGAGAAGAGAAACCAAGAGATAGAAAATTTAGATAAAAGAATCAAATATATAAGAAATCTTTTGAAATTTACTCATGCTTGTACTCCAAGTAAACAATTACACAAGGAGAAACACAGTAATGCTTAGAATTTTGAAATGAAATGAAACAAGTAATTTAGTATATTAAACTCTAACTTCACAAAATTTTTCAGTAAACATTATGATTTTTAATTTTAAATAAAATAGTGAGAATATTAGTCTTTCTTACATTTGCTCAAGTATGAGTCTAAGTAAATTACCATCTGAAGTAGTTATGGTAAATGAAGGCTGGTATATCCTTTCCTAAAAATTATTTTATTTAAATTTTTTTATCCATATTCTTTCCCCCTTTTAAACTCCCCATCACCTTCCTAACCACCTACTTCACAGACTGGTTTTCTTAATGGTTGCTTATAAACCTTGATTTTTTTTCCTTCTTCTTAAAAAAATATACATGTTTAAAAAATTTTATTTGGTGATGATCCTTTCCCAGTCTGTAGGCTGTCGGGTTTTTTTTTTTTTTTTTTTTTTTTTTTTTTTTTTTTTTTTTTTTTTTGTTGTTGTTGTTGTTTGACAATAGTGTCTTTTGGTTTTCAGTTTCAGTTTCAAAAGGTCCCATTTATTGATTGTTGCTCTTAGAGCCTGTACTGTTGGCATTCTGTTCAGGAAGTTGTCTCTGTGCCAATGAGTTCTAGGCTCGTCCCCACTTTTTCTTCTAAGCAATTTAGTGTGTCTGGTTTTATGTTGAGGTCTTTGATACACTTTAGTTTTGTGCAGGGAGATAAATATGGATCTATTTTCATTTTTCTGCATGTAGAAATTCAGTTGGACTAGTACCATTTGTTGAAGATGCTGTCTTTTTTCCATTGAATGGTTTTGGCTTCTTTGTCAAAAATCAAGTATTCATAAATGTGTGGGTTTATTTCTGGGTCTTCTATGCGGTTCCATTGATCCTACTTTCTGTTTCTGTGCCAATACCATACAGTTTTTATTACTATTGCTCTGTAGTACACCTTGAGGTCGGAGATGGAGATACCTCCAGATGATCTGTTGTTATACAGGATCATTTTGAAGATTCTGGGTTTTTTCTTTCTCCATATGAAGCTAAGAATCTTTCTTTCAAAGTCTGTAAGAATTGTGTTGGAATTTAGTGCTGATATCCAGTATATATAAAGAACTGAAGAAGTTAAAAAGCAACAAATGAAGCAATCTAATTAAAAAATAGGGTATGGAGCTAAACAGAGAATTCTCTGTAGAGGAATATAGAATGGTAGAGAAACACTAAAAGAGATGCTCAACATTCTTAGCCATCAGGAGATAAGAATCAAAACAACCCTGAGATTTCACCTTACACCCATCAAAAAGGCTAAAATAAAAAACTCAAATGACAACACATGCTGGAGAGGTTGTGGAGAAAGGGGAACCCTCCTTCATTGCTGGTGGGAATGTAAACTTGTACAACCACTTTGGAAATCAATCTGATGCTTTCTCTAACAATTAGGAATAGCGCTGCCTCAAGACCCAGCTATACCACTCCTAAGCATATATCCAAAAGTTGCTCAAGTACACAACAAGGGCATTTGTTCAACCATGTTTGTAGAAGCTTTATTTGTAATGGCCAGAAGTTGGAAAAAAACAGATGTCCATCAACAGAGGAACGGATACAGAAATTGTGGTATTTTTACACAATGTATACTACTCAGCAATCAAAAGCAAGGAAATCATGAAATTTGCAGGCAAATGGTGGGAACTAGAAAAGATCATTCTGAGTGAGGTTTCCCAGAAGCAGAAAGACACACAAGGTATATACTCACTTATAAATGGATAGCAGACCTATAAGATAGGATAAACATACTAAAATCTGTACATCAAAAGAAGATAAAGAAGAAAGAGGACCAGGAATAAGATGATCAATCCTCACTTAGAAAGACAAATGGGATGGACATTGGATGTAGGAGAAAACAAGTAACAGGACAGGAGCCTACCACAGAGGGCCTCTCAAAGAGTCTACCCAGCAGTGTATCAAAGCAGATGCTGAGACTCATAAGCAAACCTTCGGCAGAGTGGCAGGGAATTATATGAAAGAAGGGGGAGTTAGTATGATATGGAGAGTACAGGAGCTCTATAAGGACCAAATATATCTGGGCACAGGGGTCTTTTCTGAGACTGTTTCTCCAACCAAGGAACATGTATGGATATAACCTGAAACTTCTGCTCGGATGTAGCCCATGGTAGCTCAGTAACCAAGTGGGTTACTCTAGTAAGGGGAACAAGGACTATTTATGACATGAACTCAATGGCGGGCTTTTTGACCTCCCCACCCCCCAAGGGAGGCCTGGTAGGCCACAGAGGAGAACTTTGCAGCCAATCCTGAAGATACCTGATAAACCAGGGTCAGATGAAAGGGGAAGAGGACCTCCCGCATCAGTGGACTTGGAAAGAAGCAGGGAGGAGATGAGGGAGGGAGGGAGGGTGGGATTGGGAGGGAATGAGGGAGAGGGATACATCTGGGATATAGAGTTAATAAAATGTAACTAATAATAAAAATAAAAATAAGTGCTGAGTAGTTAAAAAACAGGAAAAAAAAGAAAAATTGTATTTGTATGGTGCTTTCCTTGCATGTATGTCTGTGCATTATTTAGATGTACTGCACACAGATACCAGAAAAGACTCTCAGATCCCATGGAACTGGTGGTACAGACACTTGTAAGCCATCCTGTGCGTACTGGGAATCAAATGCGGTTTCTCTGGAAGAGCAGCCAGTGCTCTTGACCCCTGAGCTGTCTTTCCAAACCAGATTTATTTTTCAACAATTAAGGAATATCGAAAGCTAAGGCTTTTCCCCCTCTGAAAATTCATCACTTGTATACCATCTAATTAATCAGTATTGATATTCAACAAAAGCAACTTTCTTGTTGATGAGCAATATTTGCTGTGAATTAGTAATATACATTCAAATTGCTGATGGAGGTGGGAGTGGAATGCTCTCTCTAGCTTTCACAGAGTCTTGAGGCTCTAAATAGGAAGTGACAAGTGTGTGGTCACATGCTGCTCTCTGCTGGAGGGAAACTCTGTCACAGGAATTGCCAGGGATCCCTGAGCATCTTCCGTTTCCATGTTTCCTCAAAGACCGGTAGCCCTTTGACCTGAGTTATAAAAATCAAACCAACGAATACACACACACACACACACACACACACACGCACACATACATTGACTCACCCATACACACATGCACACATACATACACAAATGCAGACACTCATATACATACAGACACAAGTGCACACTCATATACATACACATACAGACACGTGTACACACACGTAAACACACACCAGCACGTACCAGTGGTTAATGATGTCTTGTCCTAATTCTTTTGGGTACCATCTCCCTTGTCTGAATCAATGTGGCCCACAGTTATCTAGGAAATTTATAGCTAGCCTCAGAGTCCTGAACTAGCACTAGGGCAACAGCCCAGGGTCCCATTAAGAGGAAGCTGACAGCACTCTCCACACCCTCCCCCATCCTTTTCTTTCTTTCTTCTTTCTTTCTTTCTTTCTTTCTTTCTTTCTTTCTTTCTTTCTTTCTTTCTTTCTTTCTTTTTCTTTCTTTCCTTTTCTTTTCTTTCTCCTTCCTTCCTTCCTTCCTTCCTTCCTTCCTTCCTTCCTTCCTTCCTTCCTTTTCTTTAATCTCAACATAGTTGGGAAGGGCTGAGAAAGGCTTTTTACCAGATCCAAAGTATGCTTTAGTGTTATCATGAACACAATTGTCATACCAAGATTTAGAGGTATCATTGTAGCCATCGGATTAAATTATATTTTGTCACTAAAATGAAATCTCACCATAGTGAACAGAGACTATATTTGAATATTTCTGAGAGGGATATCATTAAAATATTATGTGCTTTATAATTCGTCAGCACGTCTGGTTCTTGACATATATTCAGCATTAGCATGCACCTCTTGGCAGATTAAATCTTAGACAAACTCATTTTTTTTTCTTCTGCTTTCATTCCCAGGGAATCTGCACAAATTGAGTCATAAAATACAGCCATTCAAAAATGAGGAAGGAAAGGTATAAAAGGGACAATAGAAACCTAGTTGTGTTGTTTGAATTTTCTGAAATGTCAGCCTCTCCCTCAAGTTCCAGAGAAGCATCTTATGGACAGGTTTGGCATCATATAGTTTGTGAGGGACAGCTGCTAGAATAACTGTTTCAAAGACTGTGGAATCCTTTTGATATGGCTATGACATTGCCCATATTAAATGATGCTTCCACTTTAGTATTTTGTCAAATTAACCCACAGTAAGGGAGGAGCTATAGCGATTTTTGTCAGGTATGTGAGGAGGATTTAAATCTTTAGATGAATTCCCTGCAGCTCAGCCCAGCCACCAGCAAGCTAAAGAGAATGGCTGGCTGCACCACTAACTTTTGAGAGTGCTCTCCACTTGCAGCCTGTTTGCATCAGCTCAGCATTCTTCCTTAACCCTCCTCAGCCAGACGTGTGGCCCTTTACTTCTCTCTCTACTGAGTATTTAGATATAATGTCATCAGTCTACAGTACAATCACAGGAGTGAATTACAAATGTCCTTCACAACCTCTGCTGGAAAATACAAACTCAAGCAAAAATCCAGGAAAAATAAAAACCCTCAATACTAGGATTCCGGGGTCTCTGGGGTTGCTTCTGCTCACGGCTTCTAAAGCTGAGTTGAGTTCAGGAAGCAAATGTGGGGGCTTTTTCTGTCCACAATGGGAACTAGGCAAAGAACCAGACTCATGGCAAAGAGCAAGGAACCCAGCACGTCCGTGTGACATAGTAGCTAAGCTTTCCTAGAAATGGAGGGCAAGTCCTGGTTTAAGAGTACGTTTTCGAGAGGAAAGAAAAAGAAAAAAGTTTCTGTTTGGGAATAAAACAAGATTATAGAAACCTTTTCATTCATTCTTTTCCGGTTTTTTCTTGTAACTTTTTATATTTTTCTCTTTCTCCATCCTTTCCTCTTTCTCTCTTCT